TTTATTGTACTAATATGGGCTCTCCAAGTTATATTTTCGTCAATAAGTATCCCAAGAAATTTTGTTGTTTTTGTTCTTTTAATGTTTACCTTATCTATTTTTAGTGGGGGAAGTATAGTTGGTATATTATTTTTTTGTTTTTTGGAATGAAACAATATATATTTTGTTTTTTCTGTATTTAGTGATAACTTATTTAATTTCAACCAGATGTTTAATTTTTCAAGCTCTTTGTTCATACATTCATAAAGGTTTTTGATTGAGTTCGAGGAATAAAATAAATTTGTGTCGTCGGCAAACATTATAACATCAAGTTTTTTCGAGGTTTTTGTAAGGTCGTTAATATATAGAAGAAACAGAAGGGGTCCAAGAATGGAACCTTGGGGGACACCGCACTCTATTCTTAGTAATTTTGAGTGTTTATAATTGTCTGAAATAACACATTGTTGCCTATTGCTTATGTAGTTTTTGAACCAGTCAAGAGTGATGTTTTTTACTCCATAGCTTTCCATTTTTTTAAGTAAGATATTATGATTTACTGTGTCAAAGGCTTTTGACAGGTCTATAAAGATCCCCAGAACATATTGTTTTTTATCAAAAGAATCACTTATACTATTAATTAGATCTAGGATTGCGTGTTCAGTCGAATATTGCTTTTGGAAGCCAAATTGTTTTTTATTTAGGATTTTATTTTGGATTAAATACTCGTACAATCTGTTGTAGATTACTCGTTCGAGAAGCTTAGAGAAGGTAGGGAGTACCGAGATAGGTCTATAGTTATTAATTAAGTATGATTCACCTGTTTTAAATATTTGTACTACTTTAGCTACTTTTAACTTGTCTGGTACAACTCCTGTTTTAATCGAAGACTTGAAGATTTCAAATATAGGTTTATTTATCACTGTAAAGACATTTGCCACTATCCTACTACAGATATCGTCTATTCCTGGAGTTTTATTTAATTTTAAGGAGTTTAGTGCAACGTTAAGCTCTTGATAGCTTAGTTCTTTGTATTTTAGTTCGCTCTGGGGATCATTTAGATATGATTCAAACGAGTTATTAGGATATTCAATTTTTGAGGCAAGATTAGGGCCAATGTTAACAAAAAATTCATTGAATTTTTCAGCAATTTTATTTTTGTCACTGTACTCTATATTGTCTATGATAATTCGAGCAGGCAAATTATTTGATTTAGTTTTTTTGTTCCCAATTATTTCTTTTATAATGTTCCATGTTTTTTTAATGTCACCAGTTGCATTTTTTATTTGCTTCGAGTAGTATTTTTTTTTTGAATTTTTTTTAATTTTTTCAAATAAATTTTTGTATTGCTTGTAGGCATTTAGGTTTTTTTCATTTCTATTTTTTAAATATTTGATGTAAAGTTTTTGCTTTTTTTTTGAAGATTTTTTTATACCTCTAGTAATCCATGGACATTGTAAGTATTTTACTTTTAATTGTTGTTCTATAATTGGGAAGTGATTATTATAATGCTTTAAGAATATTTCTAAAAACTCATTATAAGCAGAGTTGGTGTGCCCAAGGTTGCATTTTTGGTAAATCTTATCCCATCTCACTGCCGATAGTGAGTCTTTAAACTGTTGAATAGTAAATTTATTAATTTTTCGTTTATAGACTTTGGTTTTTGAGTTGTTTGTTTTTGTATCTTGAAACAAAGAAAAGTATATCGGAAAGTGATCGGATATATCCGTTTTGATTACACCTGCTTTTAATGAAGAATCATAAAATGAATTAGTCAATACGTTATCTATTGCAGTGATTGAAGTTGATGTTACCCGGGTGGGTTTGTTTATTATAGGGAAGATGTAGTGTTGAAACATATCATCAAAAAAAATTTTGGTAACAGCATCTTCATTGTACTGTAAACAGTTTATGTTAATGTCTCCAATACATAATAATATTTTGTGCTCTTTATTGTTTTTTAGAAATATTTGTTTTAGATGATTAGAAAATTTTTTTATATCACCTTCAGGTGGTCTGTAACAGGTGGGCACCAGTATATTTTTTAACTTTTGGTTTATTATTTCAATTGTAAAGACCTCACCATCGGCATCAGAAACAGAAAGATCGTCTCTAACTTTAGTTGTCAGATCATTATGAATATATGTCATAATTCCACCACCTCGTTTTTGAACTTTTCGTTACGTAAGATATTAGTTTGTAGTTCGGAATTAATAAGTTTGAATTTATTCTGGATGATTCGTCAGAACACCAGGTTTCTGTTAAGCAAATCATAATGAACAAAAAATTACATTAAAGTGTTGCGTTTCGAAATCTTTTGTTTGTTTAGCCATAAGTAAAAAGAATTAACTTTGCTTCGATCGCTTTAACTTACGCAAAACTTATTTTCTTATTTTCTAAATTCGCGACAATAAATTTTATTAAATTTAATCGTTGCGTATTTACCTTGATTGCGAAGATTTTTAACTTCTTCCCAAAGTCTCTTTCGCTCTTCCAAATATCGGCCAATATTTGCTAATCGCCGGAATCAAAGTTAGATAGTAAAAATTTTTTCCTATGCCTACAAGCAGAAACCAATTCACTTTTTTTGTTAAGTAGTAGTCGACTATCAAAACTCATAATAAAATACTTTTCATTGATGCAAAGGTTACACGTTTTTGTAGATGGATAAATACTGAGTTGTATTTCCAGCAGTATACAACATTTATTAATAAACCTGGTTGCATTAAATAATTTAAGATGGTTTTCAAATCTGAGCTTGAATGTGTTTTCACTAATTCCGATGTAGGATTTTTCGGTAAGACTGGTATTAGGTGATTCTAAAGTAATTTTATATACAACATTTTTTGATAGATATTGATTATTTAACGGGTTTGTGTGGTTTTATTAATGCAGTTGCAGTTTATATCATTATTGGTAAGTTTGTTGCGCAAAATTTATTGGTTGTGTCAATTAATTATTGATCGAATATTTGGCATACAGCTGTAACTAATTTTTGTTGTGTTTCTGTTGAATTTTTTGTGGAGCTTATAATGTAATGGAAAATGCAAGTCAATTAAGTTTAAAAAATTATTACATTTTTACTGTAAGGAGGGTTAAACCATATAACATTTCTTTTTCGTTTATTAGTAATAGAAGAATTTAGATTTGAATGATATTGGAGAATGGTGTGAAATCCAATTAATGAAAAGCTACTTATCGATTCCATAAAATTTGAATAAAGTGGGCGACATAAAACATACCGTCCAAACTCTAACAATTTTTGATGGGTTGTCAAAGACACGTGAGATTGAGTGTTATCTTGATGAGTTATGACTGCTTAACAACCAGCCAATCCAGGGTATTTTTCATCAATAGCTGCTTTCAAGCAATCAAGTTGATCACAACAATCACAGCATCTACGAATTAATTTTTTGATTTTGCGAAAGAAACTCTTAATAAACAAATAACTTAATATACATTTAAAATTTTAACATACGCAAAACATAATTTTTGGTTCATGAATACTTTGTTGTGGTTTGCGGGGCTCATTTTGTTTTTATAAAACTTAATGCGTTTTATATTATTATAAAGTATCCACTTTTTACTACAATTAATCATACGCTTAAAAATTAACGACATTATTGCATTTAAGTAGTTAAGTGCGGCCGAGGCGCAGTGGTTAGAGCCCTTGCTTTGTATGCAGGAGATCCAGGTTCGAAACAGCCTTGGACATATCTCGCGTCACGGTAAGGAAGGAGGCGTGAACTTTCTGGTTAAATGCACTTCCGCGGTGCTCTGTGACAAGACCGTAAGGACTTCTTGGGGCACCTAAATAACAAAAAAAAAAAAAAAAAAAAAAAAAAAAAAAAATTGCAGATAGAGATTCAATGTATTATATTTTATTCATTCAATTTGTGTGGCACCCATATGTTGTAGAGACAGACGTATCTTAAAGTCTTTAGTTGATCTTCTTCAAATATCGATGGTCTGCCTGTCAGACCATTACAAGGCATAAAGCTAGAACGGAATTTTGCAAATTAGGCAACTGCGGTGTAGTGGTTATAGTTCTAACTTCAAAACTGGAGTTACTTTTTTTGATGCCATATATGCATCAAAAAAAGTAACCCCTTTCTTATAATTGGTAAGAAAAAAGGCGTGAACTTCCTGGTTATGTGCTATTACCTCTGATTTCGCTCACAAAATAATTGTTACTAAGTAATTAAACAAATTAAGGTTAAAAATTTACAAAGATACATAACCTCTCAAAAGAATGTAAATTGAAAAAGGCCGACGACACAGGTTTCAAAGTGCGGGGCACAGTAGTTAATTTCTAAAAAAAAGTCAATTTTAGGAGGATGTGATACCCCTCCCACAAGAAGGTTTTTCAGAGAACATAGTCGAGTATTTTAGTCGGGGGAATTTAAGTTTTGAATCAGCCGCCGGCTGACAATCGGTACTTTTAAAAGATTCACCCCCCCCCCTCCTCCCTCATTTTATTTGTAGAATTGCAATCGACGCCCCTTTTTTACCAAGTTTTCTTTGTTTCACACGAATTTTATTATAAAAATTGAACAAGATTTTTTGTTGTTGTTCTAGCTGCCTTTTTTTTCAAAAATGACCCCACCCCCCAAAAAATTTTCACGATACGGGCCTCAGTGTTGTTTGAAAACATAAAAAGTTTTAAATCATTTTACAGTGAGTGTTTTTCAAAAATACATATAAATAATGCACAAAAACAAATTACTAAATTCTGCATATATTTTTTTTATAGTACAAATTTTTTCGAATAATCAATTTTTTATAAGTTTAATTTAAACTTTATCGTTATGTTTTACACCTGAATATAAAATCCCCTATAGACGCATTTAAAAATTGCATTATTTATTGAGTATCTCAAATTACGCTTTGTATTTATTAAAGTGAAATACCAGCTTAAAATTCGAATATTGTTGATCTTTCATACTAAAATTAAATTTAAACAAAATCGTTTAAGAAAGTTATATGTAAGAAAATAAATTAAACTTTTTATGATAGCTGATCACTGTAAGCGCATTAATCATATTTTCCTTCACCTTCGTCAGCCCATTCTCGCCTCATTCTTTCTTTATATCGCCGTGTTATTTTTCAAGAATATTTAACTTAATCTTCCTTACAATGAGTAGATATAAGTTATTCATTGGGCATCTCTCTCCTGATGCTCGTACCAGAGATCTAGAAAGATTTTTCAAGGATCATGGCTTCTCGAAAACTATTCAAGAAGTTGTAGTAAAAACTGGTTATGGGTTTGTGGTAAGTTAATAATTGTCTTTTGAACAATATATGCTGTAAAATATTTGCAGGTTTTTTCCGTGAGAAAATGTTTTAACTTTATTAAATGAACATTTTTAATGTTGAAATAATTTTTTTAACGTTTTTTTTTTTCATTTTACTTAAGCTTCTTTTTATTTTATATTTTCAACAGGTTTTTGATGATCGTAGAGATGCAGATGATGCTATTTATGAATTAAACGGCAAAGAATTAATGGGAGCAAGGTAATACTACATTATATTATATAAATATATAGATTAGTACTAAATGTGTTATGAAGTAACTCAGTCACTCTACTCAGTAGCTACATGAAGTAAACTATATTTAAAAATGAGGTCAAGGATAGTTGATAATTTTGTGTATTTTACAAGGAAAGGTGTTGTAAAATAAGTTTTTTTATCAACTTTCACTTTATTACAAATAATAAAAACATTTCATTCAGTTTAAAGTTGGTTAAAAATAAAGATAAAAAAAAAATTCGTTAGAATTTTTAGTTAAAATTTAAAAAGTTTTATGATTTTTTTAAATCTAATTTTCATAATGCAGATTCTAATTATATTTATGAAAACATTTCTATGTTGAGTAAAATAAAATATTTAGTAAATAGATTTATTTTTACTGTAGTTTTTTTTTTTTTTTTAACTTAAACACTAAATCAAAAAAACAAAAAAAACATTTTTAAATCAAGATTTGTTTTTATTTTGTTTTGTTAAGCTGCATTAGTTACAGTGATGTTTGCATACATCAACTGATAAGTTTTAAGCTTAAAGTGTTTCTATAGTCCTACATTTGTCGGACTTGAACATTTTTTTTTTTTTGTAATATTAAAAAATGGCATAAAGGAAAGTTAAAAAAACTCTTCCAAATTGAGGCTTTTTTGAACATTACCCTATTTTGCAGAACAAGGTCAAGTATTTTTATTTTGTTATCACTACTAGGAAGATTTTTGTCCAAACTTTATAAGCTGCGTCTCATTTCCATGTTTAAGTGTCATTTTTTAAACTAAGTTAAGCTTTTTGCATGTGTGTTGTTCAATGTCAAGTTTAGTTAATTTTATTTGTTATATTTAATAAATTAAATGGAATGGTGGCATACTACACTTGTCTAAAAATGTTTTATGCAGTATGTAAAACCGCTTTATAGTATGTAAAACCGCTATGTATAACTGTTTTATATGCAGTATGTGAAACCGCTGTAAAGTATGTAAAACTGCTATGAAAAAAAAATTAATTTGAAGTTGGTCCACTTGTAAGGGATAAAATCCATCCTTTATTTAATTAAGTCGACTAGTCGTTAAGTGAACTTGTCTATATTTTATAATGGCAGTTTTCCATATTTCTGTGTTGGAGCATTTGTGAAGGAACAAATTTATGATATCTCAGTATAGTAGAGGAATTCTCAAATTGAATTTTTTTAATGACAATTTTCCATATTTCTGCATATAATATATCTTATATATTATATAAGATATATTATATGCAGAAATATGGAAAATTGTCTTTAAAAAAATTCAATTTGAGAATTCCTCTACTATACTGAGATATCATAAATTTGTTCCTTCACAAATGCTCCAACCCATCCTCACATATTAAATTCTTACATTTAATTATACATTAGGGTGTTGACTTTTTGATAAATTTTTGGTATCTGCAGTTTCCTGTATAAAAAAACAGATGAAAGTAACTGAAAAGTCAGTGGTTTTGTTTAATTTTCAAAAAAGGTCACCCACCATGACTCTTGATTACACACTGGCTCCCATATATCAGTAAACTTTTTTTTACTTCAAAAGTATATCAACCTGGTTCTCAGAAGAACCAGAATTTTATTGTGATTTTAAAATTCATAATCTTTTTTAATAAAACATTTTAAAAAAATATTGCAAACAAAATTGATTTTTTCAATTTTTAGTTAAACATCGTTGTTTTTGTTTTTTGTATATAAAATTTAAGCAATTTATTTGAAACCATTATTATTTCTGAAATCTCTATGAAATTCTGGTTCTTTTAAGACCCAGGTTGATATACTTTTGAAGAAAAAATAATTCACTGATATATGGGAGCCAGTGTGTAATCAAGGGTCATAGTGGGTGACCTTTTTCAAAAATTAAATAAAAACAATGACTTTTCAGTTACTTTCCAACCAAAGTTCATCTGTTTTTTGTACATTAAACTAAAGATACCAAAAAGTCAACATCCTATTATGCATACAAGTAAATATGTTTAAATGCAATACACGTACAAAGTAAAGGTTTATTTTTTATAAAAGTGCATTTTGATTGCAAAGAGAATGAATAATAGTTTTTAAAAAAGTTAAGAATGACAACGTAATTAAAAAAAATCATTTATTCATTATTATGATTGAAATTTTTTGAAACTTTTAAATATTTTATTTATTTAAAGTTTAAAAATTTATCATGCTAATAAACTAATACTTTTAAAGATATAAATGGAGTTTATTTTATATAAATAAGAAATAGGAATTATTAATTTAAAAAAAAAATTAATAAGTCTTTTGAGCTAAATTTTTTTTTATGAAAGTTAAAATATCAAATTTATTTTAGAAAAATATATTTTAAAATAATTATAAGTGATCTTACTAATTATCTATAATTCTTTTGATTGCGGTGTATATTGTAATGACTGTATAATACAATATATTACCGACTTGTGTAATACATATGTATTATAATACAGTGTAAAATGGAGGACATGTTTTTTTAAATACATTTATTATTAAGTTAAATGTAAACATTTTCTTTAATATAAACACAAAAATTTTTTTTAATTATAAGCATGACATGTGTCATAATGAAGAAAATGTTGCTTTGCTCATTGTTGATTTATTTTTTATTTAACTTTATTTCTAAGTTTAATATCTGCCCAACAACATCTGTAGAGTGTCCAAGGTAAACTGTACTATTTTGTCTAAGATTATCTGTATTTTTTTTCTCCGACAACATCTGTCTAATATCATCTGGAAATTCAATAACCCTAACAACATCTTTAGGAAGATGTAACTACATCTGGTAATTTTTCTCCAAGTCCAATAACATCAGGAAGAATTTCCTCAAGATGTAATTACATCTGATAAAAATCTTATGTAACTACATCTGGTTAAAATAATGTATTAATATTTATTTATTTTTTTCCAGATGTAACTACATCTGAAAAAAACTATATATGTAACTATATCTGGTTAAAATAATGCATTATCAAGCCTTCCTGGTAAGCGCATACAGCCACATGCCTTTTTTGTCCATGTAAAGTAATTTTTTTAGACAACTTGACCACGTTTTTATAAGAATTTGCAGCACAATAAAGCTATAAGAAACTAATAAGCATAAAACAGCTACACTCAAAGAAAGGAAACAAAGGCGATAAATAGAAAATCTAAATAAAATGAGCTAAAAAAATTTTTGTCAACAAAAATATACTTAAATATTTTACTGTTTTTGTTTTCATATTTTTAGGGCATTTTTCATATATTTACCTACTAAAATTGATAAGTTGAGGAAAAAAAGCAGATAAGTATAAAACGAAAATGAAAGCAATTTTTGATATACAATTTTTTGCCACTTTTTTTAGTTGGTATATCAAGGAAACATCAACAATTTTTAAATTTGTTTATCAAATATTTTTGCTTAACTTTACTGTTTCCGTCAATGCACAGGAAAGCCAAAAAACTAATTGCTATTAAAAAAATAAAAAGTCATTAATACTTATATTTAAATGCAAAATACTTGGTTATTTTACTACCCTCATTAAAATAGTTAGCTTTTTTGTTGGATTATCCAAATTTTGCATTTAAACCCAATAGTTTATTTCCTGATGAACTATTGTGATTGACGATGCTCCAAAAGCTTGTGTACTAGTGCATTGTTAATTTACAATTTCAGACATGCATCAAATGCGGTAAATGCATTTATAAATACTTTTTTTCAAACAGAGAAATTGTTATGTTCATTATCTCCAGTAATTTGTATTAACATTGGAAATTGGGCAGTATAAAAGAAACAATTTCAGGCATGCATCAAATGCAGTAAATGCATTTATAAAAGAAACCATGTTCTTTTATTTAATTTATTCCGTCCTTACAAAATTTATTAATCAAATAATATATTTTACAAATAGCAATTTATTTTCTTACTTTCCTATTATATAAGTATTAAGAGAAAAAGGCAAATATAGCAAAAACATTTTTAAAAGCGAAATGATGTCAAAACAAATAAACATAAGTAAAAAAATTAACAAAATTTTTGATATTTCTAGCGTACATAGCAAATTAGTTTCTTTATTTTACGGACTGATTAAAATCGTGAATAAATTGCAAATCAAAAAATTGTTCAGGGATTATCTTTTTCCTGATATTTTTCTCTAATTTTCGTTTTCCAGATATCCAAAACGTTTTTCATACATACAAGTTTAGGTATATATTTTTGTAATATATTTGTTTTTTAAGCTTTTTTACTTATTGCTCATACTAAAATTGATAAAATTTAAAAAAAAAAATTGAAAACAACTCAGCTAAAATCAAAAGGAATATAAGGAAAAACGTATTTTGGATTTTTAAAATATGACCAGGATGATCTATGATGTAAAAGATAATATTTTTTTCATCGATTTGTATCAAATTTGGTAGCTAAAAACAACAACCACTCTATGTATATAAAAAGAAGAATACAAAAGTTATAAAAATTTTATTAAAATTGTTAAATTTTCTAATCCATTTAATTAAAAATTGATATTTTGTTACAATTTTGTTTCCTTTCTTTAGGATTGTTGTTGTTGTTTTTTTGTTTTTTCAGTAAATAAGTTTATCCTTTTGCTGTGAATTATTGAAACACTTTTTAAGTTAAAAGATACAAACTGACGTGGTCAGTGTGTCTAAAAAATTACTTTAAACATGGACGAATAAGATCTGCGACCGCTTGCGCTTCCTGTTTAATAATTTTTTTACAGATATAACTACATCTGGTCAAAATAATCCATTATTCTTTCATAATTTCATAAAATCCTGTTGTTATTTTTAATAAAATTTAAAATAGTTGTACAAATATAGTTATTCCTAACATAATTGTAAAGATGTAACTACATTTGTTAAATCTCCAGATGTAGTTGGACAGATCTTATTATACTTAGATACAGTTGACTCTTGATATCTCAAACTCTCAGGGTACCGGGAAAAAAGTTCGAGATATTCGGCTCAAACGAGTGCGCAATTGACCAGAAATAAAGTTCGAGATATTGAGAGTCAACTGTATTTAAAAAGATGTCATTACATCTGTAATCATATACTTTATACACAGATGTTAGTAGACATCAATGAGATTTCAGGTGTTGTTGGACAGATATTATTATACCTCTGTATTTACAGATGTTGTTGGACAGAGGTTATTAGAGATAGCAAAAACTGATGTTGTTACCTTGACCCATGTTTTATAAAATAAAACAATACTTGATTTAAAATTTTTTTGAATGAAAATTATTTTTGAAAGTTGCTACAAACGTTTAAACATTAAATGGATACCTAATATTATCAACAAAAATAAGTATTTGAAGGTTTTGAAAGAATGTCATAAGGTTTTGAAAGAATGTCATGTTGGGTCTCAAATCAAGCAAAATTATTTAAAATTTCGAAAAATATAAATCATATTATAAATAAATTACTTAAGATTTTATTGAACAGAAAATGACATTATTTAACTAAAAACAAAAAAAGGTAATTCAACAAGATTTTTCGATTATAATTTTTTTTTTCTCAATGTTTTTAATAAAATGATGAATATTTTTAAAATTTTCATACAATTTCACTTCATTTAAGACCCAACATGACATACATTTTTTTTCTTCAGAAAATAGCGATAGTAATTATTGATTTTACTCCTGATTACAGGTGGTATTCTCTTGGAAAGTATAGAACTTGTTTTAAAACTAGGTTATTTAGAACAGGGATACAACTCTCCAATATAAATATGAGTGATGAACAGGATTTTTATGTAAAGATTACATAAAGTTTCTACTATTTCTCTAATACATTTTTCTATAAATTTCCTTAAAAATTTCCTTTTTTTTTTTTTTTTTTTTTTTTTTTTGCAATTTTTTGGAATATGAAAGTTTTATGTTTTCAATGATGAGTATCCTTGCGCTCATATAAAAATTGATGATAATTTCTTTAGATATACTGAGAAAACATTATAGTGTTTAGCCAGCTAAGGTGGCTTTTAATGTTCTGATTGTTAAAGTCCTGTTAATAAACTATAATATAGTTACTTATAATTAAGTAGATATGGTTTAAGGAAAGCTAATTGTTTCTTTTCTCTAATCCATTTTCCTCCTAATTAGAAATTACAGACTTGGAAGGCTATAAATAAAATAAAATTTAATTATGATTTTTTTAAATAAATATATTTTATTAAATTAAATTTTTTATTTAATTTTTTTTTAATTGGCATGTATTTTTTAAGATAAATTTAAACTTTTACAATCTTCTAAATTTTTCCATGTCTTTCTAAAAATATTTTTAAAGATTATTTTTTTGAGTTACTTTAAATGATGAATAAGTTAAATCTTCATACTGCTACTTACTAATCAGAGCATGAAATAATTAAAAATTACTATTTTAAAAAGACAATATTATTTTTTTTTTTTAATGTTTATTTAATTAAAAAAAAAGATTTTTCTCTTTTCAATAGTTTAATTTCACTTTTCAATAATTTAATAAAATTTGTTTATTCATTAAACAATCATTAGAAGTTATTTGTAAAAGTATTTTGCTTTTTAATAGTAAATTTTTTTTGTTTTTTGTTTTTTTCTGGTTTAAGTTTAGCTTAGCCATCCTTTTTTCAGCGCATTCCTGAAATCTTTAAACCATCAAAATATCTAAACAGTTGTGGTCAAGTTGTCAACAAAAAAAATATTTGTGTGGTCAGCAATAGGGTTCGATCAAACGCCCTTCCTGTCTAAGCCAGTTATTACCTTCCTAGAATCAGCTTGATCAATATTGCTATATTAGTTAGTGCAATTGTTAGAAGTATATTACTAATAAAGTACATTTAAGAAATAAAATAAGAGAAGCTAATATTAAAGTACATTTGAAAACTTTTTAAAATCTCGCTAAAGTTCAAAAGGCTTCAACTAGATTTTAAATTCTTTTTTTAATTCTAAAAAAAGAATTTAAAATCTTTTTAAAGACTTTTCAAACATCCTTTAGAAAAAGAAATTAAATAAATTTTGTTCTTCTTAAATGCTTTGTTATGTGTGCAATTTGGCAAATAATGGTTAGTCAATGTTCAATACCACCTGAAATGATTAAAATTGTTATTTTGGAAAAGAAAATATGCAAAAACTATATCAAATTTTTTTTTTTTTTTTTTTTTTTTTTTTTTTTTTTTTTTTTGCTTTGCTTTGCTTATTTAGATTACTTTTATTTTACTAGTGGTGAAGATCCTTTATTTATATATATATATATATATATATATATATATATATATATATATATATATATATATATATATATATATATATATATATATATATATATATATATATATAAATGGTTAAAGTTCTTATTTTATAATTGTTTTAATAAAAATGTTTAATACATTATTTTAATAATAAATAAAAATTGTTGTATTTAACAAAGCTTTTGCCACTAGTTGCGGCATGTTATGAATGAATTAAAAATAGGTTTAAAATTACCAATTATGCATTAACATTAACAGTTTTTTAATGATTTTAATAAGCATAAAATTTGTTAATTTTCATGTATTAACTTTTGTTTGTATTTATACGGTTCAGTCCTAAAGAACTATTTCTAAAATAAAAATTTAAGCATGTAAGAAAATAAAAATTACAACCATCCAGAAAAAAACTGTTGACCATCGATTCCATGTGTTAGCCGGTCGAATGATGATTTGATTTCTTATTTTAAATGCTGTGTGTATCTCTACTTTACTGTAAACTGAAATGCATTTATTTAATAAAAAAAAAAAATTATAAGAAATAGGTTTTTTTTAAAAATCTATTATTAATATCTAATATTTTTTAAAAATCTATTATTAAAATCTAATTTTTGTTTGTTTTGCGATTTATGTCTTCTAATATTTTGTTTGGAAAATTTTACCGCTTGTTAATGCAATTTGAACATTTCAAAAATGCACTGAAAAAACTAATCTGTATTTTTAGCTAAAATTTTGTTAAAATTTGTTGTTATAATTTATAAATATTAAATATTATTAATATTGCATTTTAAATAAGTTTTAGTCTTATTTAATGTTTATATAATAATGCAAAATCCTTTTAAATTAAATAATAACTTCTAATGATTTTTTAATAAATAACCACATTTTATTATAAGTTATTAAATAATATTTTTTTTTTAAATATTCCTAATTATGTATGTATTTTTACAGGCAACTATTTAACATTGTTAAAAATTTGTCTGTATAAATACATATATAATTAGAAATGTAGTTGTTTTGTTAAACAACAGATTTAATAAATAACTCTATTTTTTTTAAATCGTTTCACCCTTTGTTTAATAAATAAAAGTCAAGTAAAAAATGATTTTAAACAATTCTTTATAATTATACAAATAAAAGAAATATTAAATTATTTCGTTGTGATGGATAGTATAATTTTTCTTTTATATGTGTATTTTATATATATATATATATATATATATATATATATATATATATATATATATATATATATATATATATATATATGCATTGTCTTTTAAAGTTAGAGACAGTTCAGTGTTGGCCTAACTTCTAAATCAGAGTTTCATCAGAATCTAAACAGCCTATTTTTGATATATTAGTATTTTTATATTAATATTTTCATTTTTCAAATTTGTCAAAAATATTATATGGTGATCAGTATCTTGTTGGATCAATCTAAGTTATTAAAAAGTGCAGAAAAATGAGTTTCGTATTAAAGAAAAAACTTCTTCTATAAATGAAGTTTGTTTTCTTAAATTTATTTATATTATATTTAGTCATTATACATTGTTTTTCTAGACTTCAAGTTGAATATGCTAAACCTTCAGGTCGTTCTGATAAGTATGACGGTGGTTATAGAGATAGAGAAAGAGAAAGAAGGTAAAACTTTCAAGTTAAAATTGTTTTAAAATTTGTATATGTATGTATGTATTGACAGAGATACGGATAGAGAGATGTTTATTCTAATACGTTTTGTTTCTTTTTTTTTTTAGTCGAGATAGGGGAGGCTTTAGTTCAAGGTAATTACAGTGTTACAGAATTTTTTATAATTTTGGTTTGATTTTTTCTTTTTGTATCTTTATTTTTGTTATAAGTTTTGTGTTTAAAACCTGTTTTAAAGCAGTTGTTTTTTCTAAAAACAAAAATTATTTACTTTACATTAAAACTTGTTAATTTTGTTTAGGATCTATTTCTAAAAACTTTTAGGCTTTAAAGCTAAGTGTCAAACACTGAAGTTATTTTTTAAAGCTAATTTAAATTATCTTATCCAGTCTATTGAAAATATGTTATGTAGTAGAATACACCAAAGTAAATTTACTGAACTAGTAGTTATGTATACAAAGCAAAAAAAAAATGCATTTTTTGCTTGATATTTTTTAGTTCTTTAATTTTATTGTTATAAATTAGTACAATAGATGAAAGAGGACTAACCTGCAGCATTTTCATTTTATAGAGTAAATAACAAAATTTAATATTTTTTGTGTGCAATTAGTACATATATAAAACATCAAAATACTGCCTGAAATTATTTTTATTTAGTTAACTTACAATAAAAAAATCTTTAGCCAGGTTATTATTTTTAATATTTTAACAAAAAATATTTGTAAAAGAGTAATTCTAATAATAAAATCCATTTTCAAATTAAATCAAAAGTTTTTGATTATTAAGGATATGGTCGTTCCTAAATTATGAAAATTTTGTTCAATATTTTAAAACAATATCAAAAAATAAGCAATATTTTTGTATTAAACAAAAACTGTTGAATGTTGGTGCTTTTTCAATGGTATGCACAGTGATATAGAAACACTTAAAATTTGGCAACAGTTTTTAACAGTAGCGAAATTTAAATGTTATTTGCTGATCACTGTGGTATGGGATAATTATATGCTGCTTGCACTGGCCAAATACGATATATATTTTTTTAATGCTAACTTAAGTATTTTAAAAGATTTAATGCAAACTTTGAAGTGTGTTTGTGTGTAATACTTTATTGTTATTATTTGAAGCCAATTTATCGCTGTGTCTAACCTGATATAAATTTAAGAGGTGTCTAACCTGATATAATTTAACTTTTTTATTTATTTATTACAAGAATTTTTTTAGAAGTTTGACAATATTTTGGTAGTGTACCTGGTGATATACCCAAATATTGAAATAGTTGTGGTAAAATTTAGATATGGTCGACCATATAACACAGATTTTCGTCTGGTCATAGAAAATGTATCAACAAGGTGTAGTTGGCAGGTATGTCCTTATATTTTCATAGTACATCTGTTGTGTTTGAAAAATATTTTGTGTGTTTAAAATACGCTTTTAACACAATTTAACTTTTAACAATTTAAGTATCAAAGCAGAGTTATACTTATATGCATTCAGCGTTTTTTTCATTGTTATGCTACAAAATTTTGTTACAAGGCCTGAATAGTAGTAAAAAGAAATACAGTATTTTATATTGAAATATACACATTTTTGATTTCTATGTTTTTGTGTAGGAATAAATTTGCTTTAATTAACATAAATTAGTTGTTCTTTTACTTAAACAAAAACTTGTTTCTTTACACAGGAATCTTGTTTGGGTAATGAAATAAAAAGCAAAATGTCCAAGATTAAATTTTTTTATAATTTTATGGTTGATTAAAAACCATGTTTTATTGTACATTCAGGATATTAAGTACCATTCATTATTAATTTTTGATCTATGTTTAAACAGTAATTGTTAATTCAAGAAACAAGTTAAATTAAGTAGTTTTTTTAGTGTCTATTTAATGCATTTATTTTTTTACATATTTGTTACTTTTTATTATTAAATGAGTTTATCAATTGAAATGTCCAAAATTAACATTTAGCCATTCTCATTCACAGAAATGAGAATGGCTAAATGTTACAGATATAAATCAATTATCTTATACTTATTTACCTTTCACTTAACTTGCATTATTGCTGCTTATCTTCTTTGAATTTAAAAATAAAATTATATCTAACCGATTAGAAATTTTAGATAAATATTCAAAAATTAAAATTGTTATTATACATCTGATGTTTACAATATTTAGTAAAAGTTTTAAATCATAGTTGTTGTAATTTTATTTAAATGTAAATATGTAATAAATGCTAATTTTTTAGAATATATTATAAAGCTTATCTGTGAAAATAATTTGGATGTTAATGTTAACTTGAGGTAAAAGCATGGCTTTTACCTTTTTGAACTTTTTCTGAAGCTAACTTGTCTACTTCAATCATCTTATTGAATTTAAGTAACTGTTTTACTTTTAGTTACTTTTTATATTAAAAATTAACATTATTTGTAAGGTAGTTTATAACTCAACCTAATTTTGAAATTTCATAAATTTTTGATTTTTATATTTACACCTAAATAAAACATGTACTACTAATTTTCCAACCTACTAAATTGTTGACCTACTGAATTTTCAACCTACTTAATATTTAACCTACTCTATTTTCAATTTTATAACTATGCCTTTCTGGTATGTATTTTGTTGATTTGAATACGAAATTTAATCAACCTTGGGCGCAGTGGTTGAAGCGCTGTCTTCAGAATCTGAAGGTTCATTGAATGCTCTAAAAACTTATTGATTGTTAATTTTTTTTTTTTTTTTTTTAATTGTAGTTTTAAAAAAACAATGTTAAAAATACATACCAGATAATTGGTTAGTAATTAATTAATCTCAAATCGGTTAAAGATAAAAATTGATAAAATAGGTCAAAAATGATAACGTCATAAGTTTGGTGAAAGTAAAAGACTAATTGGTCGAAAACAATTTAGGTCTAAGTAGGTTATTTGAAAAGTAGTTCCACTTATTAGTCGATGTTCTTTATGTAGAACAACTTAGTAGGTTGAGATTTTTGTAGGTCTAACTTTATGACACGGATTTGTATACTTTTCATGTTATTATTTTACCATTGATTCAAACCAGATTCAAGCTCAAAAGTAGTCAAATAACTTTCAAAAAATAACAACCACTTTAATGTGTAAAGTTTTTTTTTTTTTTTTAAAGTTGCTAGACTAAAAGTTTTTTTTTTATTTAACACAGAAACATAGAAAAATATTAAGCAATCAAACAAAATGATATGTAATAAGTATGACTAAGTGTGATAATTGGTTGCAGATAAAAAAAAAGTAGAAGCAAGTAGTATAGTATTCTGTAATATTCTTTAAATATCTTTAAAACAATAAATTGCTATAAGGAACTGCTTTAACTTTTATATTGGTTTAATCAACTGTTCAGCAAACTTGTTTAAATATGTTTTATATTTAATGATATGCTGAGGTAGAAGCCACTGCTTAATAATCAAAAGCCATGCATTTCCAGTAAGCCTCAGATCACCAACATTTGACAACTATTTGGAGCAAATCAAGTTGGATAGTATATTCTGTTTCACTTTTTTATTGGGTTGTTGCTCTTTTACTGTTTTTTGTTTTGTTTATTTATTTATTTGCAGTCTGGATCTTAAAAATTTGAGTTACTAATTCAAATTATTGAAAACATTTTGAAGTCAAAACAGTTTTCATGCCTTTTCCTAATAATTTGGTCATACGTTAGTGATAGACTATATAAAAAAGGTAACCTAGAAGTTTACCAGATATGAAGTCAATTGAAAATATTCTTAGGATAATGAACTTGTGGAGAACTTTACATCATGAACAATCTTTGGTAACACTAAACTTGCTGCATTCAAAATATTGTTTAATAAAGATTTTGTTTCACATAAGTAATTTCTTTTTCATATCATGTTTAAATTGCTATATACCATTAATTTTTAAGTTGTTTTAAAGATGTAGTTAGTAATAGTTATTGTGAATTTTTTTACTTGAACTTTTAGCGTTTATTTTAATTTTACTATCAAGTGTACTGTAATTCTGTGTTTCTAATTCTTAACATGCCTGTTGGCATCCATATAAAAGTAATGAAATCAAGATTTTGTATTTAAAACCTGTTTAAGGTTTATTTTCTTTCATTGGTTTACTTGAAAGGAAGGGAATCATTCTTTCTACCAGATGTCAGTATTTTTGCAGCTCTACTAAATGCATTTTAATAGAATTTAAGTAATAAGTTTTACAGGTTTTATCATTTGTTATTTATTTGGTTTAGTGATAAAATCTCCACACTTTACGGCCTTTATAATAATTAAAACAGGGGGATTTAGCAACAGGTCATTATAAGATTTCCACTAAAATTAATATTCTATAGCTATCAAAATGTCCTCTATTATGTTATAACTGGCATAATATTTATTTTTAATACAAATAATCTATATTGTATTTTATAAATATCAAATGTGATTTTATTTTTTGCAAAGCTATGAGGAAAAACAAACAATTTACTAGAACTTTCTTTATAGTTTATTCTATTTGAAGGTTTTATTTATTTGTTAATTCATATGAATTTAGTTTTTTTATTTTTTATTTATAGGTTTATAAATAAGTATTTTTTGTTTTATTATAAGTCTGCCAGAGAATAACAACATTAGTTAGTAAATTATTTTATTCTGTGTAAAAGTTTAATACAGAATTAGTATATGGAGTTGTGTACAAACTAACAAAACTTTATTTTGTTACAGTGTGTTTGTTAATTCTTTGTGGCTTGTGAATGTAATGATATGAAGGGAGGAGTTTCATAACTAAGTACTTGATCACACTTACCTTGGTGTGGTTGTTCTTGTTCACACTGTCCTTAATTGGTGTGGTTTTGTACTTCTGGATTACCAAAAGAATATAATGTTGTTTTTGGCTGGATTCCTGTTGGATATTTTGTTTGTTTTGAATGGTTACTTGAGTTTTGGTATTAGTTTTTGTAGTGCCAGGTATGTGTTAACCCCTGGTTCCAAAATTCAGTTTAATTTCAGACTGGTGCTGCATCAAGATTTATTAGAGTTTACAAAGTTTGTATTTATCAATGATTATTTTCTATTTGAGTAACTGTAACTAAGTTTTTGCCTAACTCGCCTGTTCCTAAAAATTTGTTTAGTATTTAGTTTATGCTGTTGTATTTTTTCTATTCTTCTTATTTTAATTCTAGGATATTAAAGATTACTTCAGACAAGCTGGAGAAGTTACTTTTGCAAAGTGTCATCGAGAAAAAATGGGTGAAGGGTAAGTTGTGGTGCCATTGGATATATAAGTTGTATTTTTAAAAGAAAAGATATTACAGACAAACATGTGAAATGGTGGGATAAATTTAAACACCACAACTATTGGTGCATTTTAACAAAGGAGTTGTTTAATTTTTTTTAAAAAAGCTACTGAAGTAATTGTTGTCAGTTCTTAATCATTAAGTTAACTGAAAATCCAGTTTTATCAGTTAGTTGGCATGGTAATTTGTAAATACTTGGCAGTATATTTATAAAGTTTCAATCAATTACAAATTTTGTATATCTTAGTTCTACTAATTTTATTCATAGAAGATCTATTAGTCATGATTAGAAACATCAGTATGAGTCAACATGAGTCATTAAAACAGTATATTTAATAAAGTTTAAAGCTCCTAACATCCTTAAGTTTTGGTAGCACAAGTTTTACGAGATGTTTGTACGCACTATGAACCTAGCAAGAAGTTTTTTGGCTTTGATATTAAAAGCAGATTTATGTATTTTTTTTTATGTGATTAAATAGTTTGGTGTTATTTTTTTTCAGAGTCGTTGAATTTGCGTCTAGCAGCGATATGAAAAATGCATTGCGAAAACTTGATGGCTCCGAGCTTTTTGGAAAAAGAATTAAACTAATTAGTGTAAGTGTAACTTATGTCCTTAGATGTAGCTCGTGATTTTCTGTGTCAAATGCCTGCATCTAATCCTCTTAAATTTAATTACGAATAAAATAAATTTCCTAATTTTTAACAAGTAGTTTTTTCAAATGGTTTTTTATTTTATTTTTTTACTTTTAATGCAAAAATTTTGTTTTTTAAAGTTTATATTTTATTTTAATTTTTTCAAATTGCTTCTGCCTTTTACAGACTTATCGTGGACAATCGGAATCACGGTCTCGAAGTCGAAGTCGTTCACCAAAGAAGCGCACTCGCTCGCCAGCTTCACGATCACCTGTGGCACGCTCACGGTCTCGTAGTCCTCGCGGTAGAAGCAGATCACGAAGCTTTGCCAGGCGATCAGTTTCAAGATCAAGAAGTCGATCAAGATAGTCGGAAATTTTGGAATTGTCCGCCTGGTTCGCCTAAAATTATGGACTAAATATTCGGCGTTAATAAATGGGGGAACGTTTTAATGTATTTTATATGTAAAAATTGCTTGTTAATCAAATCTGCAACTTAAAAGCATTCAAGCGAACTGAACTTTTCATATTTAATCAAAAAAGGAAATGTATACTTATGCTTCCGTAGATAAATTTGTGATTTAAGAAAACGACATAAACTTATAAAATTAATTTATTGAAAGTGAATTCTTAAATAATGTAATGTATTATAGTATCCCTTTAAAATATAAACAAATTTAAAATATAAACCAAGTATGTTCATGCATAATAAATACGCAACTTATATAAATCTGGTATCGCTCCTTGATTTACACACGAGAGCTCATTCAAAATTCAGCACAATATGAATTAATTATTGTCACAACATTTTTAAATAAATGATAAAGAAAGATTTAATTTTGTCGATAAATTTATTTTTACTAATATTTTCCACCTTTATACTCGTAATTTCAGCATATATATAAAAAAAAATGTGACAAGATTGATCTAAAATTGTAATGTTTGGTCAAGGGTACAAATTTCTTTTCTTGGTCATACGCTTATCTTTTATGTCTATTAGATTTGTTGACTTCCACTCTTTGGCTATTGACACAATTTACTTGTGTCATCTTAACTGTAAATGATTTTTATTTACAAAATATGACACTTTAAAACCAGAAATCGTGTTGTTTTTTTTGTAGAGATGTTCCTTTCATCATATTTTTTCCATTCGGTAAACATCAAACTCTATAAATGCTTTAAGGAAGCAGAAAAAGCAGCATCAAATGATTGTAGGAGAGCAGCTTTAGCTGATAGATTTTGTGTGTGTGTGTGAGTGATTATTAAGGTGCCCCCAAAAGTCCTCTCTTTCATATCACATAGCACCGTGAAGCAACATTTAACTAGGAAGTTCACGCCTCTTTTCTTACCTAAGTCGCTTATTGAGCTAGAGTCAGCATCGTAACCACGGACCCCTTGGTTCTTGGGCAGAACTCTAACCACTGTGTCACGACTGCACTATTTTATTCTATGTGCTCCGAGAAGTCTTAACAGTCTTTTCATAGAGCACCGCGGAATAGCATTTAACTGGGAAATTCACGCCAAAAAGTATCAAACACTTCAATCTTATTTTACTTTAGAAAGTACAGTTTTATCAGGCTTAAAGTCTATTCAATCATTTCACAAATGTTTTGAATAAAAAAATAACAAATAGGTAAAATTACCATTAGCATTAAAAAGGACCATTAGCAATATTGCCAAACTTCAAACTTGTTGAGGTTTTGTAAGTGTTAAAATTTTTTTTGGATACTTAAAAATTGTATTTTTTGCTTCAGAATCATCATAGTTAATGATAAAGTCAGGTGAAATATTTGTCTTTTTTTTTTTCAAGATTATTGATGAAATTCTCAGTTATAATAAATCAAAGAGATATAATAGCTGGAGGGAGAATTTAGCCGAAAACGATTTCAAACCCGTCTTTGTTGTATAATTATTACATCGATATTTTAGATCGCATTTATTAACGCCGAATATTTAGTCCATAATTTGGGGCTTAATGATAAGACTATTTGGGGCTTAATGATAAGACTAAATTTGTCTTCTTCTAGCCCCGGTCATGTAATTATTTTTTTTTATAAGTTACGACTGTAAATTTTTTTTTATCGGCAAAAGTGTAAATAAATAAACGATTTATAGTCTTTGTTGTATAATTATTACATCGGTAAGTCAAAATGGCGCTTTGACGAAAAAATAAATAAATTTTGAAATGTAGTTTGTAAACTGTAAAAGCTGTAATCGAAGTGGATTAATCTTTTAAAAGTTTATTAGATAGGTTTTCAACAACTATTCAATCAATTAAGAAGTTAATTACTATAAAAATCACTAAGGTGAAGTAATTGTTTCTTGCACTCCTTTATTAAAGGTATAAATATTAAAGTTTTAGACAATCTTTACTACCTGTTTAAACCTTATTTTTTGCTTGTCTGTTCAGCTCTAGGTTTGTTACATTCTTTAAGAATGTTCTTTCGGACAGGTATATATTAAATCCCTTCAGGCTTTAATTTTGTGTCGGAGTATTTTTGCTGGATTTAAAAACAAATTGCAATATTCTAAATATAGATTTATAAACTACCTTTTTGTAAATCCGGCAAAAATACTACCAATTCTTATCTAGAAATTAATTAATTCAATTCTAATCAAGAAATTTATTATTAGTCATTCAAATGCGCAACATAAAAAAATAACAATAAACAAACTCTAAACATTGTTTGCGGATTTTTTTAAACTTCCATCTTTTATTTGCAATGCTTCAATTGCTTATGTCGTTTTGAAACAATATCATTGGATAATTTTTGTTAAAAGTGGAATGTATTGGTGAATTAAATAATTGGTTAACTTTAAATTATGATAATAATTGGTTAATTTTAAATTATGATAGTTAGGCGGTGTTTTATAAAAAAATTTATTACAACTAAGACTGTTCCTTGAAAAATGACGTATTTTAACTTCGTTCACCCTCCAGCTATTATATCTCTTTGATTAAATGAAGCTATCTAAGCTATCTATCTGTGACAATATTGTTCATCACATGACAAAACATGTTTGCTACATTTTAAAAATATTGTAACCAACTTTTTTCTGAAAGGTTATCTTTTAGAAAATAAACTTTCCTTCCAGTTTTATTCAATCATCTTCGAGTCATAGTTCTCAAATTTTTAAATTGGAAACGAAACTAATTTCCTTCAACACTAAATATCTTGGATCGACCTGCAGTTTTATTACCATTTTTATTTTTATAGTTTTTAAATAGGAAATTAGAACTTCATGTTTTATCTAGCATAAAAATAAGCATTTTTCTTTGCACTAAATAAATAGTCTTTTGCAGATCATCTCAATTATAACTGTTCGATGCTTTGTATAATACACGTATAAATAACAATATGAAGTAAAATACACAATAAGTATAAATCCAACCTCTATTACTCTTTAGTTTCTTTTAGTAAAAATATCGCGAACATAACTGCTTAATCTAAAGAATATTTATAGTGCAATCAGTTTGAGCGAAAAAATAATTATTTCCAAATAACATCATACTTTCCTAATATTTCCAATACGATTTACTTTACGATTTACAATATAAGTAATGCAAATATAAAAGTTTCCATTGTTTATGGGGATGAAAATAAATTTGACAATGAAGATGGGGTTTGAAAAATTTATTGTGGAATAGGATTAGGAAGCCGTGACAGATTCAAGGAGGAGGGATAGATATTTATCCGCCCCCCCTTCCCACACACACACATACAAGAATTTAAAATTATCTTTTTTTTTTTTTTTTTAGGAGACAAATATGATACAAAATAGATAAATATTTCAACATCTCTCCCTCTTCCCATCCCCCCCCCCCTCCTCCACAACTAACACCACCACCACCAAAAATTTCTTGATTCGTCACTGTTAGGGAGGGGAGGATTAATAAGGAGGGAAGAGATGGCTTCTGTTTCTGTGTCTACTTCTTATTTAAATTGTTTTATTAACTTTTTTCCAAATAATTATTTAAAAATACCCGATAAGGTATTTTTATATACCTTATTAGAAAAAATTAAACTCTAAGTTTTTTATTAATATAGTCAAGAAAGTTTTATTGCCACTTTTGCCCGAATAATTTTTTTTTTTTCAATTTAAAATATATTTTATTTTTAAATTTCGAAATAACTTTAAAATTATTAAAAACTGATGAAAATTGGGTCATCATTAAAACAGCATTTTCTCGGTTACGTAATTACTCTTATAAAAAAGAACAACGATATTTTGAAAGAAATTTTAACTCAACAAATCATATAAATCATGCTTCATTTTCACAAATCTAACCATTGGCCGGACAGCCTTAATTAAAAACTTTACCATATTTTATTGAAAACATTTGTTTTCTTAGAGCTACTTTCGTCATTGACGAAAGTAGCTCTAAGAAAACAAATGACTTTTTTCTAATTCATAACTTCTACTTTCAAATGAAGCTCTGACGAATCGTGAGAGCTTCATTTGAAAGTAAAAGTTTTGTATATTAGGGCGGGTCAAAACCATACTTTTTTTAAATTTTGACAAGCAGCACTATGTGGAGTTTTTGAATTGGTATAATAACCTTTTTATTCTAATTTGGGTATATATTCTTTTAACAAAATAACTTGAAGCAAAAAAAAAATTGTTGCTCAATTTCAAAATTATTAACTTCATGCCTTAAATAAAGTTTCAAAATATCATGTCAGCATAAGAACTGTTGCTATGCTACTATGTAATTTTTTAGTTTATTCTATTTGTTGCATTTTAGTCTCTATACATAATATATTTAGTGTTTGTGTATATATTTGTCTTCTTTTTATTTGTTAGTAATTAAAAATAAAATATAACTAATAATAAGCAACACATTGTATCATGGCAACATTTCAACATGTTTGATATATGTTCATGCAATTGTTATGATTTATGAGTAGAAAGAGAGAAATGTAGATGTACTTCTAAAGTACCAATAAAAAAATGGGATGCATTTGTTGCGCAAAAAAAAACGCACAAATCAACTTGGACAACTTGATCATGCCTACACATCTGCTTTAAAGAAAACTGAAACTAGAAAAAAAAAATTTTAACTCAACAATTTTTATGTGTATTTAATTGTTTTTGCCTTAAAAATTTTTTAAATTTTTAAGGCAAAAACAATTAAATACACATAAAAATTGTTGAGAAAGACATTAATAGACAAATTACTGATGACAATTTCTATGAATCTGAGAATAATATCATATTAGATGAATCTAATAATGAATATGACAAGCTTTACGAGTCTGATATCCTTACAAAATGTAATCAAAATAGGTTTCATTACAATGAACTAGCAATCATAGCAGATCGTTATCGTGTCAGTTACTGAGCAACTGCTGCTATTGTCAATGCTGCCCTAAAAGACATGGGTAATGAATCAAATATGCTTGATAGGAAAAAAGTAGAAAGAGAAAGACTTTGTGTTGGACAAAAAAATGTAAATAAAAGAAAATGCAAAAATTTGAAATTATAATGTATTGCTTTTGATGGAAGGAAAGACAATACAATAACAACTGCAAGGATAATTAAAGAAGAACATATTACAACTGTTAGAGAACCAAGCGGCAGATATATAGATCATCTAACCCTGATAATGAAACTTCTCGCTGCATTGCTAATGAAATTCTCCATTTAATATTTGAAACTCGCAGCAGCAGCGATTCTTTAAATGCTCTCTTATGTGATGCAACTGTATTAAATACCGGAAAATTTGGAGGGGTGATAAAATTAATTGAAACAGAACTCGAAAGACCTATGCAGTGGCTTGTTTGTCAACTAAATTTCCCTATAAGCATGTATTTGAGTTGATTGATGGAAAAACTTCTGGCCCTGGATCATTTAAAGGTGAAATTGGTAAAAAAAAATAACAGAACGAATAACTTAACGAATAACAAAAATAACAGAACGAAAAACTTAACGAATAACAGAACAAATAACTTAACGAATTTAGCAGTAGTTCCTTTCAAAAAAATCAATGGTTCTTTTTATTTAATTCCAGATAATATCTTTAGTGAATTAAGTTCAGATCAAAAATATCTTTGCAGTATCTATTTATCTATTCAAACAGAAGATTTTTCAAATGAAATATCTAAAAATTCTCCCGGAAATCTTCATTATGCCCGATGGCTCACAAGAGCAAATCGCATTCTTATACATTTCTACAGAAATACGCTTATACATTTCTACAGAAAAGCCAACAAAAGAACTTATTGACTCGGTTACAATAATTATGAAATACTATGCACCAGGATGGTTCCAAATCAAATCAAATTATTTGGCAATCAATGGCGCTCAAAATTTTTGATATCTTGCTCAATTAATTAAAAATGCACTTAATAATGTAAAATACATGGAGGTAATTGAGCAAGTATTGAAGCAAAACTCATATTTTTCTAACCCAGAGAATATTTTATTGGCGATGATAAGTGATGAAAGAAAACAAGTTAGAACTAAAGCAATTCAAAGGATACTTAAATTCACAAATACTAGCGAATCCAATAGACATTTTAAACTTCCTACAACATTAAATCTTGGAGCCAAAGATTACTGTGAATTAATAAATTGGGGATATCGAGGAAGTTCATTCACCACCTTTACTGAATGATTATTCAAATGAAGATATTTTGAAAGCCAATGACACTCCATTAAGTATCCCAAAGTATTCTTGTCATAGCCAGAATAAGGAAAGAATAGTTGGAGTAGTCACAAAGGCATCAAAAAATATATATGAAAAACGTCACAATTTTGTGATAAACCTGTTGGACTCTAGGGAAAAAATGCCTAAATTTGATTGGAAAGCCCAATGGAAATAAGACATTTAGTTTTTATTATAAATTTCTATATATAAAATAGTATTATAAAATTAGTATTATAGTATATATAATAGTATTATAAAAATATGCATTTTATTATAGCCAATAAAGACATTTCATTCTATCTTTTTTTTTAAAAAAAAAGTTTTGTTTCTTTGCTTAAAAAAGGTAATATATGAACAGAAAGCATTTTAAAGCTGACATCCCTTATTTAACACCTTGTATCCCTTATTCTAATAAAATACCTAAACAGTATTTTAGGAGAACATTTTTCTAGTATATCTAAATCATTACAATTATATAAAATAAAATAAAACAATTATAAAATAGTTATATATAAAAGTTGCTTATAACCCCTTTTTCTCTAAAACGCCAAAAAAATCTGATTTTGTGTGCGACCCCTACAGAGGCTGTACAGACCTCATATTGTTATACATCCTATACACATAATTTACATTATAAAGAAAGAAAATAAAACTAAAACTTGATACTATTAAGAAAAATTAAATCAAATACAACAAATTTGACAAAGTGTAACGTGTATATAAGATGATGATTTTTGAAACCAAGAATCACCATCTTACATGAACCAAGACAAGCATGCACCAACCAAGAAAAGTATCCACCTTTTGCTAAAATTAAAGAACTTGAAAAAAAAGCATTGAGGTAATGTAACCCAATGAATTAAGCGACATTGAGAGTAAATAAATTTTAAATCTGTAACAAAGATCATTATAAACCATCATTATAAAAAAAAGAAAATAGACCAGCAACTAATATAATTACTAGAACGTTTAATTTTTCCGAATCGTATTGCTGCATCTATTACAAATAGTTTGCTCGGTAACGATGAGCTTACAGTTTAGTAACGATAAGCTTACAGTTTGGTAACGATGAGCTTACAGTTTGCCTGTAAGCTTACAGTTTTTCTGTTTTTAACTTTTTATTTGGAGTATTAGTAAAATAGGTAAACAGATACCCATTTAACTAATACTAAAAATATAAAGTTAAAAACAGAAAGGTTAAAATAATCAAATGAGTTTTAAAAGGTTCACGCCTATATCACGCCTTTATCACGCCTGTATCATGCCTTTATACTCCTGAATACTGAAAAGCAGATTTACTTTTAAAAAAAGTCTTTCACCTATGTCAACAGAGTAGCAAGGTTTTAATCTTGACGCAAACAAAAACTATATGTGTTTGTTTATTCAAAAAAGTACTTTCCAAAAAGTATTAGTAAACATCCAGTACCTTTTTTAGATACACTTAACACATTTTGACACAGCTGTCTAAATAGTTTATAGTTATATATTTTTAAAAACTGTTAAATTTTTCTTTTAAATAAAACTAGGAGCCTATAATTTAGAATAAAATGCATATTTTAATAATTGCAGCTTTAGTTTTTTTTAACATCTGCAGCGGGTCAGATATTGGTAATTTTTTAAAATATTTTAAATTTTTTTATTACATCAACTTTGATTCATTTAAATAATCGAACGTTTTCGTTTGCTTAGATGATATAGGAGGGCCATGTCTACTTTCTGAATCTCATGCAGAGGTAAATTTTATTGATTGTGAAAAAATTAATTTGAATTAGGTTTTTTATACTTTTCTATTTTATGGCTCTTGATGGGTTCTTTAGTTTTATATTTTGGTATTTATTTGATAGGGTCTTATTTCATACTTTTTAGTGTTACCGGGTCTTCACTGGATGCCGAAAAGAGTCAAATTCTTATAGTGATCGACAAAAATGTCTAAAAGAATTTGACGAGTGCGTTGATGGGCCCTGTCCAGTTAAAGTATAGTGCTTTTTCTTTTTTTCTTTAAAATTTAATTATTATTATTTTTATTTTTTTCTCCTTATTTTTCTTTTTTAAAAAAATTCATTTTTAAAATTAAATTTTGCTTGAACACTGCTGCTTGAATAAAAAGATTTTAAATTATTATTAGTGTGAAGAACATTATTCTGAATGCCGAGCAAAATCAACTTCGATACCAACTACGTTTCGTTGCATTGAAGACCACGCCAAGTGCGTTAAAGTTTGCAGAATTAATACTTTCAACGGTTAAAAATTTTTGCACTTTAACAAAATGAAAAAAAAAAAAATTTTATTAAGTTTCCAACTGTAATTTTTAATAGAAAAACCTAGAAACTAAAAAGTTTTTTATTTTAAGAATCTTATTTTCCCAACCTATTGCTATAATTTTCTTAAGAGTTTGATATACATATTGCTTACAAAGGCGGTTCTACTCAGGGCCGTCCCGAGGAAGTTTTTCATGTGGGCGGGGGAGGGGGTGGGTGGTGTGTTTTTGAGACATCAAAAAAAAAAAAAAAAGGTCTTCAGTATTTGCAACTTGTTAATTATAGTTCAAAAATTGCTAAATGTGCCAACTCAAATGCTTATACGACAGCTTTGGGGAGGGGAGGTGGGACACCCCCCGTTCGGGACGGCCCTAGTTCTACTTTATACTCTTCTTTTGTACATTATTACTTAACCTACGGTAATATCAAGTTAGAATCGTACTTGGATCTGGTAGAGTTTTTCCTAATGAACATCTTTTATTTAATTTGTGTCTTAAATATTTTCAAATTTAACATTTATCTTATTTTACAGTTCATACATTTAATTAGAAAAAAAAGACCATAAATATGTTTCAAAGTTTTGAGTAAAACCAGTTTTTTGTACCAAAATCTAATACAAAACAGATCTTTTTTAAGTCGCGGACCATTTTGTAAAAAAGCTTTCCAAAGATGGTTTCCAAAATGAAAATTGTTTAATTTAAATCAGAATCAAAAAGGTATTTATAGCACACAAGTTTTGATTTATTTTAAATCTTTTTTTTTAAATAGTTTGGTCAGATAAAATAAATTTGAAACTAAAAAGAAAATTATTTTAAATTTTTTTTTTTAATTCACCCATTTTAATCATTATCACAAATCAATTTTCTTAAATTTGTTAATTATATTATTTATTATTTGATATGATCTTGTTTCATTCTTTATCATTTTGTAAACATCTATTGTATAGATACACTTTAACCTGCGATCAAATGTCAATAACAGTAGGGTTAGGGATAGTTAAGGTCAGGCTAGAATTAGTGTTAGGATTGAATAGTAGAAGAATTTCAGATGACAAATTTTTTAAAAAAAATGTACTCATTCAAAAAAAAATGTACTCATTACATAGATAGATAGAAAAAAATAGAAAAAGTTTTGATCAGAATGAATAGAGCGTTCCTAAAGATGACCTTCTACAGTCATTTTCAAAACTTTCGAAACCCTCAGAAAACGTAGTTTATCAAAAAAAAAAAACATTAATTTACGGTAAAATAATTTTTAAGTATTGCTAAATCTTGTATTTTACATTTGCAAGTCATGAAGAAGACATTTCAGTGTTTTTTATGCACTCTGCGAGCATCAATGACTGCTTCTATCAGCGAGACATACCACCCAACATAGTGGATGCTTCATAGTCGAAACAGTAAATTTTTAGTCATACTATTTTTTAACGGGTCTATAAACATGCTTTTTCCGAACAACAAACTGTTGTAATATTGATTCATTTGAAAATAACATTTTTTGACAGTCGTTTAGCAATTTTTTCACAGTGTTTAGCAAATTCCAATATTTTCTTTTTCATCAAAGATGTCAGTCGTGGTTTTACAACAGCAGACTAACCAACAACAGCAGACTAACCAACAACAGCAGGCTAACCAACAACAGCAGGCTAACCAACAACAGCAGACTAACCAACAACAACTTTGAAAAAGTAGTTGTGTTATGAGTAAACATCTCGTGTGTGCTTATTTTGATTTGTACGAGTCGTTTCAAAGCACAACAAATTTTTTAAAAAGTAGGAATATAAATAGCTTTATTAAAATACTGAAGGTTAAGCGAGTATGCAATACAGGACTGCTAACGCTGCCTAATTTTTATTTTTTTGAAATAAATTTTTTACTTAAGTAATAAATTTATTTTAAAAAGTAACATTGTTGACGTCAACTTGTCTTGACCTCCTCCTCCCACTTCTCAGCAGTTTTTAAAAATTTCAGACCGCTCTGTCCCTATTTTGTTGATAACTAAAATTGACTTTTCTGATTACTTTCCTGGTTGGTTATGCGGAAATATAAACTAAATAATGGGGTAATATAAACTAAAAAATGCAGAAATATAAATTAAAACAAAACTAAAACTAGAAATTATAAGTATATAAATTATAAATAAGAATATACGAAACTAAAAAAAAACTTGTAATTAAATTTACAATTACAGAGTTTTTCTTTTTTAATTTCTAATTTTAATTTCATATTTTCTTATTTAAGTTGTCTTATTTTGATTTTCTTGTTTTAATTATATTTCCGCACAACCTATATTAGAACAAAAATATAAACTCTATTTGAATGTAATTTGGGCTAATCAAATATTTAAAAATTAATTTTAAAAGCTTTTTTTTAAAAAGTTAAAATATAAGCTTGATGGCAGTCATTTCAAACTCAAGGAATAAATTAATTTAATAAATTACTGAGGTTTTTTTTATATTTCTTATTTTAACTTCATATTTTCTTATTTATTTTTATATTTATACTAGGGGTATTGGCAAACACCGAAGCGGGAATGCGAATTAAATTAATCATATTTATTGCTTATCGATTTAACTATTTATTCACAAACCCTCAAAAGCAATTTTTATAAATCTTATTATAAAATAAAAATTTATGGCAAAAATAAAACCATTGGTGTTTGGCCAAACACCAATGGTTTTATTTTTGCCATAAATTTTTATTTTATAATAAGATTTATAAAAATTGCTTTTGAGGGTTTGTAATTCCAATTGGAATTACCCTACGAACGTGGGGTAATTCCAAACACATTGGGGGGGGGGGGGGGGGAATTACAAACACTGTTGTGTAATAACGAATAAACTGCTAATTGCAATAATTAAGTCTAAAAATTATATTATGCAACAACAACAAAAAAAAGGAGTGACTTTAATTCCATAGAAGCTACAACTGAATGTTATTCAAGAAAAAAGTTGCATAAAATTATCAGAAAAAGTTGAAATCAAATTATAGAAAACAACATCCGCAACTACATTACACTACTGCACGTCTGGAACTCAGCATGGGATCCCTTCTCAGCAGATAAAAAGAAGTTGTCAAAATTATTTTTCTACAATGCTGTTTTGACCATCTTCGGAGTTATCCCGCGTTTGCCATTACCCCACTCTCCCCTATATTTTTTTTAAATTTATACTGCCGCATTTTTTAATTTATATTTCCGCATAACATGACTTATATTTCCACATAAACCTGTGATAAATTTTTTGCTTCCTTTAAAAAATCAATCAAAAGAAATTTCTCCTTATAAATAATTTGTCTGAATAAATCACAATACAAAAATAATAATAATAATAATAATAATAATAATAACTTGTCCAAAAAAACTTAAATATTTTTCAGGAAACTCAAATAAACTTAATTAATACATCATATATTTCATTCCTCATCCTTCTGATTTAAATTCACAATCGATGATTGTACTTTTTATGTTTTAAATAAAAAGCATCAAAATTTTGAAAAAAATAAAGAATTTTCAAATATTTCAAACTACTAGTTTGTCGAATTACTTATTTTATTTCGAATGTCACTTACTATGACTTGACATGATTCAGAAAGTTCTCTTGAATTATGTTCTATTTATAATTTGTCATTTTTAATCAACCGCAAGAAAGTGGAAAAAAAAGTTTAGGATTAGGGATTTATGTTTTAAGAAAATGCTTTTCAATTCTCTCTCGTCATTATGTTTCCTTAATAATGCAATATACATTTTTTTAAGTTTTGTCAACAACTTCCTTGCTTTTTAATTTTTACTCCTTGTTTTATGTATATATATATATATATATATATATATATATATATATATATATATATATATATATATATATATATATATATATACATATATATATATATATATATATATATATATATATATATATATATATATATATATATATATATATATATATATATATACATATCCTCTATTTTTTTTTTCATTTGACTTCAAAAGCATAAATAATTAATATTATTGAGATCGATAAGGTGCTTTTACTGTTAAAATGCATTGGAGCCAGAGTTTGATGATCTCATATCATATCCCACCATAAAAATCTATAAAAATTAAACAATCTTATTCCCCTGTAGTTCCTTTTGATAACTTCACTGACAATAAAAATCAATAACTTGTATACTAAATGTTTATAAAACATTTTTAAAAATAAAGTTTTCGTTTAGCTACTTGGAAAGTGACCTAATAAAATATATGTGTTGAAGTTATTACATACAAAACTCAGAAATAACCCTCAACCCCCACCTCTTTTTTTTTTTTTTTTGAAAATATGAAAAAAATCACCTTTTTTCAATTCTCATGGCAGTTCCATGAGTACCATCATTTAAATTTGAATTTTTGATAGTTCTAAATTTGATATGTCAGACAATGCAAATGGAAAATATGATTTTTTTTAGTTTTGACCTGGCTTTGATACATCCTACTGTACATTAATATCTTATGTGGTACCAATTTGAACACTTAACATACCGGCTTCTCTAATCTCTTTCACCATCATGCTTGTTAAAGATGCTTTTTTGTTTTGTTTTGTTTTTTTAATGTTAATTAAAAAAACAAAACCTCCTCAAGGCTTAGAAGGCCACTACAATTAAGGAGACTACTTTAACTGTGGTTACAATCCTCTCTCAACTCTATAACTCCCAAAACACCATTCTTGACAAACAAGGCCGCTGCGCGGAGAAACAACTTGAGCGCGGTACTACCAGGTACGTGGTAGTACCGCGAACTTGGAACTTGGAACTTCACGCTAATGAAGCGAACGCTCTACCACCACACCACTACCACATTAATGACTTAATTGCATCAATGACTTTATTAACAGTTGTTTTTGACAGAAATGTGATCAAGTATATCTGATGAATTCCAGAACCAATTATGAGAGTATTTTCATCAAACTTTTTAAAACTAGAAGAGGCACCACAAGTAGATAAAAACGGGACAAAATTTCTCCTTTGCTTCTTAAAGCTTGAGTAAAGAGCCGTGGTATTATCTCCAGTTATTGATTTGTAAATATGTTCAATACGTATTT